CCAACGAATAGTGGGATTGACCGACACATTATAACGCCTACACGGCTAAAAAGGCGAGCATGTTCGGTGTGACGGGGATTCGAACCCGCGACCCTCAGATTGCGACTCGAGCTCCCTAACCACCTAGCCATGCCGGGCCTATTCATTATTTAGAAGAGCTGATGAACGAGAAATCTTGCAACTACAGCAAAAACCATACCAGGAAAGTTAATTAATTAATTCTCCGTGCGGACGGTTTTGTAACCAGGGGATAGAACTTTTTTGTTTCGCGTTTTGTTACATTTTTCCAGTTAGTAACGACATATTGTCTACAATAAATATGAAATAGAATCAAACATCGAATGTCAGTGAACGAGACTTCTTTTCTCGGTTTTTATTAAACATCTGGCCATTAACCTGGCAACTAAAAATAACACGCAACCTGGCGAACATTTTTACGACTGGTTACTGTTTTCGCACGACTTAAAACTTAAAATGTTGTAAATTTGTTTGTTGAATTTTCGAGCAAAGAATGTATATTTTGTTCTAGCAAAGCCACAGCGGGCTGTGTCCACCGGGGGGAATCGAACCCCTGGTTTTAACGAAGACTGACCGCTGTCGAGGTCTTTGTGTGCTGAATGTTCCTAATGTTAAAGTGATAGACTAGATGAAAATAACATATTATCTGATATTGCTGCATATTTGAATACCATCACTTCGTTTTTAAATCTTTTGGATTAAATCATAGCTTTAAAGACCTGTAAACATTATAATAAAGAGCTGACATTTTTTTGTGACTTCGTATGGCATGATTTTTGTTATCAAACGACGTTAAATCGTTTTAAGTTTCCCACGCGACAAGATGAAATTCTGAAATAAACTTTATACGCCATCTGGAAACCTACACGTCTACTTATCACGTTATAGTTTTATTAACAGAGGAGAAAAAGGTGAACATATTTGAAAGTTTTGTGTCATATTGGTGGTATTCCCACATAGAATAATAACCTTCCATTTCTGTGTAAAAAAAAAAAATGATCCAGTCAGCTTGTTGTAATCCAAATCAGTCAACGTTTGCAATCTGTATCCGCCTTAGTAACACAAGGTCAAGCAAGGTTGTCGCTCTTGACCACCTGGGGAAGCTACTAGTTATGCATGTGACCGCTAGGAGGTGTGTGGGGAGCTCAAATGCTTTTTAATCCACCGCCCCACTATAAGTCTTCCAAGATCGCTATCTACAAAATAACAGACGGGAAAAACATCTCACGAGCTAAGCTAAGCTAAAAACAACGAAGTTATATGGATAAGAATCAGAAAGGTAATTATGAAAGGATAAGAATCAGAAGGGCAACCATGAACAGATAAGAAAGGTAATTATGAAAGAAGCTCGAGACGGTGTCTTACCTAAGCCTAGATCTAAACTGAAAAAAAAAAAAAGGGGACATCTTTATGTAGTAGGTTTACGGTCTAAGGTTGCTATGAGACGAGAAGAGCAAAGACTGACAAAACAACCATCATAGTTACCTATTTATTATTAGTACCAGACCATGAAAAGTCATTTTCCAATAAATAATAAAACACACATCATCAACTTCACAGTCACCATGTTGTGTCTTTTTATCACACGTTGGTAGTAAAACGAAAATACTGGATGTAAATTGATGCGTGGATGTCAGTAAATCAGTACCTCAACGAACATCACTGGACCTAATTTGGTGCGTGGATGTCAGCAAATCAGTACCTCAACGAATATCACTGGACTTCATTTGATGTGTGGATGTCAGTAAATCAGTACCTCAACGAACATCACTGGACTTCATTTGATGCGTGGATGTCAGTAAATCAGTACCTCAACGAACATCACTGGACTTCATTTGATGCGTGGATGTCAGTAAATCAGTACCTCAACGAATATCACTGGACTTAATTTGATGCGTGGATGTCAGTATTCAGTATCCTAGCGAACATCACTGGACTTAATTTGATGCGTGGATGTAAGTACTCAGTATCCTAGCGAACATCACTGGACTTAATTTGATGCGTGATGTCAGTACTCAGTTACCTAGCGAACATCACTGGACTTAATTTGATGCGTGGATGTCAGTATTCAGTATCCTAGCGAACATCACTGGACTTAATTTGATGCGTGGATGTCAGTACTCAGTATTCTAGCGAACATCACTGGACTTAATTTGATGCATGGATGTCAGTACTCAGTACCTTAGCAATACTAACAACTGTTTCGCTCACAAGATGAAAACTGTTATCTATGGTAGAATTAATAACACCGTGCAAGATGGCGTAAGGTTAGAACAAGGTTTAACAAGGTTCTTAAGCGAACAACTTCTTTAAAGATCAAATAAAGATCAACAGATGCTGAGTTAACAAGGTTTTCACACGAGGAGAACTTCATTGTTGCTGGTTTGACAAGGTTTTCAAACGAGGAGAACTTCAATGTTGCTGGTTTGACAAGGTTTTTCACACGAGGAGAACTTCAATGTTGCTGGTTTGACAAGGTTTTTCACACGAGGAGAACTTCAATGTTGCTGGTTTGACAAGGTTTTTCACACGAGGTAAAATAAACTTGAAATTTCTTGACTTACTAGTATTTAAGACTTCTTTTTACTTCATTCAATAAGAAATGTAAATGCTTGATACAAAAACATAATATATCATTGTATGTGTATTAAGAAACATTTTTACTGGGTTTTCACTGCTGTTCAACACAATAAATTATCGAACAATAAATCCTTAAAGATGTACAAGTACAAAGGGAGTTCGTAAGCCAAACCAATGATCAATTAAATTACCAAGATTTTCTTCTCGTTTACCAAAAGAATTTCCTGTTACACACAGTAGGGTGGTAGGTACTGAAGCATAAGGGTCACACAGAACATCCTCTTACACACAATATGGTTGTAATTATTGAAGACTGAGAGCCACACAGAACATCCTCTTACACACAATATGGTTGTAATTATTGAAGACTGAGGGCCACACAGAACATCCTCTTACACACAATATG